TTGAATCTTCAGGTATCTCTACTTACTGGTGTACCCGTGTACATCAGGGAACTAGTAAGGTGCAATAGAAAAGGGATTTCACTAGCAGAGGAATGGAGCACATGTGGTATGAACAGGGGAATGGAAATACTGGAGCAGGAAGGGTTAGGCAGTGAGTTCTGGGAGTGCAGATCAGCAGAGGGAGTGTGTGAAGGATTAACAGTAAGACTTTGGAGAAAACTACATGAGAATGTACTAATATGGAAGCATCCTAAAATGCATACATATCTAAGGAATTTAAATGTCATTCTTCTATAGCTTCAGAATAGTGCTTCTCCCAGATACCGTGGGCCTTCAAACAAAAATCCCAGCGCTAGGTATGTTTCAAGTTGTTTGCAAATGCTGTCAGTACACACCCAAACATTACAAGCTATTTCCCTTGTTCGTGGTTACCCTCCAAAATTTGATGGTGTTTGCATACTTGAGTTATAGGATTTGGAGAAATCAAGCTGGAGCTGACATGGAAAATTTATTCCTACCTGCTAGCATCCACAGAGCTGAAAAGTTTTATGCATATTAATAAAAAGAATGCATAATCAACTCTCTAACCCACCAGTGATTTCTGAAACCTACAACTATGACTGGCAGGGAAAGATATGCACGCTGGTGGAATATCTTTACAGTGGCATGAATATTACAAGGATAACCCATTATATTCTTATCATATTTAAGGCCAGTTCCATTATATAGATCTCATGCCTCACTCACTTAACTGACCTAAGAAACTCTGACTAGTCATACTATTGATCCAAAATGAGAACTACTATAATCGTTATGCTAAATAGACAAATATTGTACCTGCCTCCTTAGTTCTTACCTTTATATGGACAGTTCAATGCATACTTCCTTCATACCTTTTCAGAGAAGCTTCATGTTCCAATAGCTGGGGGGTATTACACAGACCTACAAGTGATCACCAAGCAGATAATAAGAGACTGTGCTCAGCTCTACATGGGGCATGTTTATCATATACTTTTTCCCCAAAGCTCAGAGACCATGTCAGAAGACCGGTAGACTTTTCTAAGAGTCAAAAGTAGTGCATGATTTGGGGTGAAATTATTCCTTGCATCACATGGTCGTGGCACACACAAATCTACTGCACAGGACCTGCAGGAAAAGATGCCAAAAACATTAATGGGATAGAGGATCATGAATACCTTTCTGCCTGAGGAGCCTTTGGCATTTGGTAGCTTCCAGGAATGGGAAATTCAGTTTTCTTTACGGTGTAAACACTGTGAGGATTCCCATACTGCAGCAGAAGGCCTTACTATAATGTATATGCTGGTAATGCAGAGTGGACTCTATGGGGAATTACAGAGAATGCACTTGAATTTGGGTGGAGAAAGTGTCAGGAAGGATAAGGGAGGAATATGTAGTAATGGGGGTAGTACAGATTTGCTGAACACATATGCTGTGCATATAAGGTATTCTCAAGTAATTTAAGCATCCGTACTCTGCTAAATGGAGTGGAGAAAAATTGAATGAAGTATAAAAATTAAAAAAAGAAGATGAACATTTGGAGGGAGGTCAGCTGACAGTGTGGACTCTTGTCTTTTCTTTGGCTTATGTTTTTCCTGAGTCTTTATTGGATGAGAATCTGAAGTCCACGAGCCTTTCCTCATAGGAGTCGTTTTCCCCATTTGAACATCAGAGCCATGTAGCCACTTTGAGCTGTGAATTCTGAGAACTAGCAAGATTTTCTCACTCTTTGTGGCCAACCCCAACCATACTGCTCTGATTACTGTTTAGCTGGAGGATGTCTCCTTGGTGACTTGAGACCAGGAAGCCACCATATCATGAGAACATTACAGGTGTTGACCCTTGAAAACCTGTTCAGTATTAATCACCAGGTGAGAGGGCTGCTGTGTGACTCTCAGACTGACATGATGTCACAATCTTGTCCTTCACTACAATGACCAACAGGTTTGCAATTCTGTATTTTTTACTGAGCTCATGGGCTCAGAGGTTTCATTCAAACCCCAGGATAACTCTTTGGTGAGAAGCCTGTTTTGTGGTTGCCCAGGGCTGGGCTCTGTTTCTTATGTCCTTCCTGGAATAGCTTGCCTGCTGCTTGGTTCCTTTGGTCGATATTTTTCCTGCAGTCCTGCTCTCTAACATACACGTTCTCTACTTTCTATCACTCGGGACATGAGGCAGACTAAATACAGTGCTCATAAAAGTATCTCAGACAGTATATTTTGATCTTTCTTCCCCCCAACACCTCAATATTTAAGATGCAATTCTATCATTTCCTCTTTCATTTTCTACCTCCAACTCGATCCTGTCCTCCCAGCCCTACTCCCTCTCAAATTAATTTTGTTTTACGATTTTTATGAAGAAGGGTGCATACATATATAAACAAATGATTACACAAGTATAACCAGCTGAACCAATTGTTTTGTGTTGAGTATTGCTTTTGTGTCATAGGAAAAAACCTCAGCCCTCAGATCAAACAGAAGAGACAATTCATTCTAGAACCAAATTGAGTGACTATGGCTGGTGAACACAGATTTGGCTGACCCCAGATTCCATGTTCCAAGGTGGGGGCAGTCTAATGAAGTTTTTGTAGTCAAACATAAGAAATTTGTAAATCAAAAGATTAGTAGAAACAACAGAGAGGAAGTCACAGGCAATATGTGAAAACTTATCCCACAGGCCCAAGATGCTATGCAATGTCATTTTTAGCTTTTAGGTTGTTGGAAGTCAGTTGTCTCATAAGTTAGTAGATTTCAAACACCTTTAATTAACTAGTTATAGGAGGTTAGCTCACCTGCAGACATGTCCAAGAAATGGCTGTTCAGGGTGCTACAGTTAGCCTGGAATAAGTTAATGAGTCTCTAGACCTACAACACTTCAACCTATCTATATCACAGAAGTTCTATTCAGTCAGTTTGCAGACATGGCTCTTTCCAGGGATTCTCATGTATGTATTTATAAACATGCATACAATTATACACATGTATGCATTTAAACACATCTATGAATTTGTACACATGTATGTATTTATACACAAGTATGCAATTATATTCACATATATGCATTTATATACCTGTATGCATTTATACACATGCTTATACTTCTATACATGTATATTGATACACATGTATACATTTGTACACATTTATTGTGATGTACACATGTATGCATTTATAGAAATTCATAATTCATACACAAGTATTCATTTATACACATACATGCATTTATACACATGTATTCTTTTATAAGCATGCATAGACTATAGCATGCTATCCATGCATATATTTATACATATGTATGCATTTATAAACCTGCATGCATTTATACTCATGCATACATTTATATACACATATGTATTTTTATACATGAATACATTTATACACATCTATTCAATTTTTACAATATATGCATTTATATACATGCATACATTTATATACATGTATTTATTTATACACATGCATGCATGTGTACACATGCATACATTTGTACACATAGATACACTTATGCACATGTATTCATTTATATACATGCATACATTGATACACATGTATACATTTTTAGCCATGCATACACTTTTACTGCTGAATATTTGGTATTGGATAATCCCTAGGGAAGAATAATTTTTCCCTCTCTCCATTTACTTCCAATTACCAGGTTTTGAACAACAGATTCTTAACAAAGGATCTAGCCGTAGATCTCAAATTAACACAGTGTAAACAAACTGCATTTCTTCCTGCTGCCTCAGTCCTCTAGGTAGATTCTGCTTCAACAGAACCCAGGGGACTTGGGCCTCATGAATTCTCTGATTTGTCTGCAGTGGGACTAGGCAGGCTCTTGTCAAGCAAAGTTTTGTAAGCACCTCCTAGGGACCACTCCCCAACCACCAAATGACATGTGTGAGACAGTTCAGCCCAACTTCCTGCTTCCAAAGTTTCCTTTCCTCTCATTCTGAGCACTCTTCACTGTCTTCATGGATTTGGGAGCTTTTCCTATTTTTCATATTCTATTTTCATGAACTTTGATTCTTTCACCTGCTTACACAGGAGACGCTATCACTCTTTTAATCTGCAAGCTTAGAGAAACTCTTTTTCTTTCTTTCTTATTTTTTCGATTTTTAATCTTTTTATTTTATGTCTATGTGTGTTTTTCCTACATATCTATCTGTGTACCATATGTGTGCCTTCTGACTGAAGAGGGCAGAGGAGAACACATAACTTCTTAAAACTGGTATACACTATTTTAACCCAAAGAGTTGCTTCTTTGACCTGTTAGAGCGCTCCCCAAGAACAGCAAGTAGTCTTAACCTCTCAGTCACTTCTCAAGCCCCAGATGCACTTCCAAAAGTGTTTATTATTTATTTTTATGGCATGTGTTTGAGTGCTTTACTTATTATAAATGTGTGTATGCCACATGTGTGCCTGGGGCCCAAATATGCTAGAAGTGGAGCTCCTGGCTGGATCTACAGATGGTTCTGAGCCACCATGTAGGTTCTGGGATTGTTGCAAGGTTTTCTACAACAGGAGGCAGAATGCCTAGTGCCTAGCTCTCTGTCTATTTCCATTAGAAACACTTTAACACTAGGCGTGCATGCAAACAAAATTATTACACTTTTCAAGAATGAGTATGAAATCAAGTCATTACAAAATAAAAGGATATGAAACTCTTATTCACAATCCTAGAGAGAACATTAGTGTCTTTCCTTGCCCAGTGCTTCCATGAATAGAAACATCATAAGCAACATGTACTGATCAGCCACAGGACACAGACAAGTAACACTAAATCCACACTATGCTCTTCAAGAAACAAAGTACTGAGACTTCATGAGTCATTCCATGATGTTTCTGAGCTGTCAGGGGCTCATTCACACAAGATTTATGTGTCAGGAAAGAATTCAGAACTTAATGACCTCTAATTTCCTGAATTTGCTAAGGGATTACTGAGAATAGTGGCCTGACTGTGCACAATATTCTGCCCCTCCTGTTTAGAGAGAGATGGAAAAACCATCAATATTTGCTGGCCTTCTACTTTGCCATTGAGGAGATCAATAAGGATGTCCACCTGCTTCCCAATGTGACCTTGGGTTTCCACCTCTACAATGCCTTTAACTCCCACCGGAGAATCTTGGAGGGCCCTCTGATGTGGCTGTCTGGAAGGAGTGAGTTTATCCCTAACTACAAATGCAAAACTCAACACAAAGCTCTTGGAATCATTGCGGGAACCAGGCCTGAATTTTCTGCTGCAATTGGAACACTTTTAGACCTCTACAAAGTTCCACAAGTAAGTTGGCAAAGTTTTGGTGTCCATAATCAAATAAAACATCTGACTAAAAGAAAATGGAGTTATCTATGTTTCCTGCTGGTGATTTCAAATGTAAGTGAAAGAATTACGTGGATCCTGCTATGATCAACAGTGGAGTGTGGTGAAAAACATGAGCAGTAAATACTGTGGGTTTCTAAGAAGATCACTTAGTAATATTCATGATTCTATCTCCAGTTATTGGCAAGATGTACTTGGCAGCTCATAGCTGAGTGCTGTTCATAAGTCAAACATACAACCCAGATAAATAACTGCCCAAGCTGGGGTATAAAAATATAACTATAAGTTAACCCTGTGTTTAATGACTGACAGATAGGGGAATAGTAAGTTCAGGACATGTAAACAAATCAGGGACAATCCTTGGGCCATCACAAATAAAAATGTTCCAAGGAGTTTATTTTCTCATTCTGGAAAGTAGATCTCTGAATGGCACTCACAGAGAACATCCACTTAGATACATCCTGACAATTGGCCCTTGCCAGGCACTACTGAAGCAAAGCAACCATCAGTAGGCATCACTGAAAATAAAGAAAATATTTGGTGAATGCTTACTCATAGATAATCAAAATTAGAAAATCAGACAATGTAAAACTGATTACTATCACTCAGTGAAACAGTTCATACATTTAATGAATCCTAAAGTAAGAAAAAATTATATACACAGGAATTTCCATCTATCTCAGAGTTTTGCATTTTAAATTAGTTTCTTGGTAATTACTTTGTCAAACCTATCATTTGGGAAGTATGATGCAACAGTGCTTGGTGAAATTCCCCCAGATATTCATGATTTGCTCTTTTCTAACACAGGAGAGTAATCTGTGAAAAATGTGTTATTTACATTCCTGAAGGCAGAGGTTCTAGGGAAGGTGATGTCCTGTGGTCAGAGTAAAGCACTTGGTAATGCTTCTACAGTCTATCTCTACACCCCATACTCTGTTCCATTGTTATTGGAACAAGAGAAGTCCATGGTGCCTTTAAAACCTAACATGAACAGAATATTGTTCACTCACTTGCTTCAGAGTTCTTAATAACTTTGGAGCCCATAATACTTGACAAAGACCATATTCCATCACACAATGAGAGAGAGAAGCTAATATCACAGAAGACAGTCTCCTTACCAACATTCAGTTTCCTGATCCCCTTATGCGAATAATGAACTCACTTTCTCTCTAAGGGTGAGGAATCCAAATACCTAGAAACTCAGAATCCCCTTTTTTTCTGTTTGCTTCTACAGGTCACATATGGAACTTTTGATTCTATGCTAAGTGACAGAGATACATTCCCATCCCTTTACCAGATGTCTCCTAAAGACACAGCTCTAACCAAAGGGGTGACCTCTCTACTGCTGCACTTTGGCTGGAAGTGGATAGGGCTCATCGTGTCTGATGATCTGAAAGGAAAGGAGTTCCTCTCTGACCTGAAAGCAGAGATGGTATCAGAAGACATCTGTGTGGCTTTTACAGAAAAACTCCAGTCTAATTGGAAGTTTCAGATCATATCTGATGTTGGGTTGGTGAATTTGATCAAACATACACAAGCAAATGTGCATGTATTCTATGGTGATATAGATGCCTTAGTATTTTTCTGCATGCAAAATGAAATCATGAAATCCATAAGGAAGGTGTGGATCATGGCAAAGTCCCACTTAGTTTACTTAGAGTCTGTATTCTATGAAAACAATTATTTGAAGGACTTTTTTGAAGGAAGCTTCTCATTTTCAAAGAAGAGAGATATCCCTGGCTTCAAGCCCTTTCTAGAGGCACTTACACCCTCCCAGTACCCAGGAGAGCTTTACTTTAATAAATTCTGGATTGACAATTTTTATTGCTCACCTCCTCCTCTGCTATGTGGAAATCATAAACCCTGCCCACTGAATACATCCCTAAAGAGAAAGCAAGAAATAAATGTGATGACCACTTCTGAGCCTAGCGTTTCCATATGGAATGCAGTGTATGCAGTGGCCCACACCCTCCATAAAATGCTTTTGAGGACAACAGGAATGGGATCTCATGAAGACACAAACCACGACAGGCTTCTACCCTGGCAGGTAAGCCTATCTCAAAAGCAAGGGTAGCACTGGGAACTTATTAGTAGTTGAGTCACTGAAGTCAAACATACAACACATTTTCATCTTATAATAAAAATAAAAGGCAAAATGGAAAGAGTTCTTTCACATTGGGTGTGTATGTGTCTGTAATTACGGTGCACGATTTGGGCTACTGTAGCTTTGATTTCAAGACATGAAATTTGTGCATATTTTAAGAAATGTTTTCCTTTTATGAAATGAAATTCTGTTAAAATATCCAAAAATCAATGATTGTCAAAATTAGCAAGTTCAATAATAAAAATTTACACAATTTCATGGAATATATCTGATGCCATCAGATAGAGACATAGTCACCATATCTAACAGCAGCTATTTCACATAAAATATAATATATATTTAACCACCCAAGACCATGGGGGAGAAACTTTTATGGAAAATAAAAATAGGCTGCCATAACCTCAAAAGTAACTGAGAAAGAAATTGCTTTTTACAGACTATTTACTCTTAAATAAGATAAAGTTAAGGAGAAATCGAAGACTATGCCTCCATCATTAAATATTATAATACACATGAGCCTAGGCCATATCACTTTTTTTTTCATATCACCTTTTTATAGTTACAAATGGGTATGTTTGGTCTTAAACCATCCTGATATAAACTTAGGACTCAATTATACCTATGAGCCTTGATGTTCCCCTTCAAATAGGTGATCATCAAGAAGTTTGGTGAACAAACTTTTCATTTTTATTTCATTTTCATTCAGTCTAAGGTAGATAAATAGAAAATGAACTCTGAATGTTTAGTATACTATGTAGCTTTTAGTATTATGGATAACAGTAATATTTGACATAGACATTGACACTGTTTGTGAACATGGCTTCCAGAGATGTGATATTAGGTAAGTTAGTGTGTCTCTTGTACAGAAAACTGAATATCTAAAAAAACGGTTCTTTATGAAATGAGTTGTTAAATAGTTAACACAATAGTGAATCTCAGAATGTGAAAAATTAACCCATTGTATTAATTTAAATATGTAATGAAATCAAGCTGGAGTGATGGATTAGCAGTTAAGGGCACTTGATGCTCAGTCAGAGGACCTCTGTTTGGTTGTTAGCATGGCAGCTCACAGTTGTCTGTAACTCCAGGTCTTAGGAATGTGACACTCTCTTCTGCTCTCTGCAGATATCAGGAATACAGTTTGTGAATATACATACATACACGTAGGCAATACACAGAATTAAAAATAATACAAATCTAAGGACCAGAGAGTGCTGTGAAGTCAGATGTAACTGCTGCTCTTGACAAGATGCAGGTTCAGTTCCTAGTATCTACATAGCAGCTTACAAATGTCTCCAAGTCCACTTCCACTCAATCCAGCACCCTGTTCTGGTCTTAACGGGCACCAGGAACATGTGTAGTACACATACATATGTCCAGGAAGGAAATTCATACACAAAATAAATTAATATAAAAATATAAGAAATCTTTTAAAAAATCTAGCTTAATCACAGAACATTTAGATTTTAATTTTGACTTCAATATTGTTCTTATCAAAGTTGAAAGACAAAAGTTGTGACCCAAACTGAATTAAGGATTGGAGGCAGGCAGTGTGTCTATTTCCATTTTCCTGAAGTACAAATGGCATACAAAATTTCTGCATATTAATATATATTGTCAAGAATATGGAATTTTGAATAAACCCCTGCTAATATTATCAAGTCCAGACACTATATCTACATGTTTACCTATCTACCTACCTAACCATACACACATAGGTTCATGGTGTGCCATAAAGAAGGTAAATATCTTGACACTTATAAAGCAATAGACATAGTGTTGCTTCCATTTTGCTCCAGATTCACTCAGAAATCATCTATATTTTCTAATTAGAGACATTTTTCTCTTGCTGGGGAGAGACACAGGGCCTTGTTCCCACTAAAACATGGTCCACCCTGCACTATGTTCCACCTCTTTG